GCTGCTGTGGTTGTGGGTAGCAGTAGTAGTGGTAGTCTTAGCTGCAGAAGTAGTAGTCGTCGTCGTCGCCATGGTGGTAGTAGTAGTAGTAGTAGTAGTAGTAGTAGTAGTAGTAGTCGTAGTAGTAGTAGTAGTAGTAGTAGTAGTAGTAGTAGTAATTGTTGTTGTAGCAGTGGCAGTGGTACTGGCAGTGGGAGTAGTAGTGGTATTGGTGTAGTGGTAGTAGTGGTAGTAGTAGTGGTAGTAGTAGTAGTGGTAGTAGTAGTAGTAGTGGTAGTAAAAAGAATAGTAGTAGGAGCAATTAAGAGTAGGAGTAGCAGTAGCAGCAGCAGGAGTAGTAGTAGCAGTAGTAGTCGTCTTCGTAGTGGTAGTAGTAGCAGCAGTAGCAGTCGCAGTCGCAGCGACAGTGGCAGCAGCAGTTGCAGTCGCAGTGGCAGTGGCCGTGGCAGTAGTAACATTGGCCGTGGTCGTCGTGGTAGTGGCAGTGGTAATGGTAGTGGTAGTTGGTAGAAGCTCGTAGTTGTGGTGGTGGTGCTGGTAGTAAGTAGTAGCAGTAGTAGTAGTAGTAGTAGTAGTAGTAGTTGTTGTAGTAGTAGTAGTAGCAGTAGTAGTAGTAGTAGTAGTAGCAGGAGTAGTAGTAGTAGTAGTAGTAGTAGTAGTAGTAGTAGTAGTGGTAGTAGTAGTAGTGGTAGTAGTAGTCGTCGTAGTAGTAGTAGTAGTAGTACAAATAGTAGTACAAGTAGTAGTAGTAGTAGTAGTAGTAGTAGTAGTAGTAGTAGTAGTAGTAGTAGTAGTAGTGGCAGCAGTAGTAGTAGTAGTAGTAGTAGTAGTAGTAGTAGTAGTAGTAGTAGTAGTAGTGGTAGTGGTAGTAGTAGTACAAGTAGTAGTACAAGTAGTAGTAGTCGTCGTAGTAGTAGTAGTAGTAGCAGCAGCAGTAGTAGCAGTAGTAATAGTTGGTGTTGTCGTAGTAGTCGTAGTGACAGGAGTAGGAGTCGGACTGGGAGTGGGAGTCGGAGTCGGAGTCCGAGTCGTCGTCGTTGTAACTATATAGTGAGTTGCATTGAAAGCACTGACTTTTGAGTGAGACAGGAGAAGATAGAGCTGGCCAACGACCTAGTGTGCCGATCAAGACCCACGTTTGAAACCTGTCAGGACAAAGCACGCAGCATGATGAGGTCAAACTCGATGCTGGCCGAGGTCCTTTTCCAGGCGGCTTCGGAAGCATTTCTAGCAGTGGCGTTTGTCTTTGGTACTAATGACATTCTGCGGCAGCAAGCACCACCCACAAAACAGAGATTCTATTCTACCGCCGCCAAGACTTCCACGCGAGAACGAGTACTACTGTGACTGCCATGGCCACTACCGACACTGCCATCATAAACGGTGCCGCGGACGCTATTCCTGCTCCTGATGTGCCTCCTCCACCCCACGGCCGCTGCTATATTGCCGCTCTGCTTCTGCTTCTTCTACTACTGCGACTACTACTACTACTACGACGACGACTACTACTACTACTGCTGCTGCTACAAAACTGCTGCTGCTACTGATATCACTACTTCTCCTACCTTCTACTACTAACAACTGCTGCTGCTGCTGCCGCTGCTACAACTCCTACTCCGACTCCTACTCCGACTTCTACTACAACTACGACAACAGCTCCTTCTGCTGCAACTGCTACTGCTACTGCTACTGCTACTACTACTGCTACTACTACTACTACTACTACTACTACTACTACTACTACTACTACTACTACTACTTCTACTACTGCACGACTAGGGCTACGGCTAGCACTACTGCTACTGCTACTCCTTCTACTTCTCCTACTTGTTTGAGTACTGCTGCCGTTGCGACCTTCTTCAGTGCCGCCAAAAGCGCAAGACTTTGAGGAATTCGGGGCCCGCTGCAGACAGAACCATGCAGCCGCTGAGTTGAAGTTGAAGTTTCTGCACCTCCGACAGGTTCTCCTTGTCCACAAGCAGAAGCGCCTCGAACCCAACTTGAGGTCGCTGCATGGAGAATTTGTGGATTTCGATGGCTTGCTTTTTGGGCTTGTTTTGGGAGTCTACTACCCGGGCATAGTCAAGAAGAGCGAAAGTGTAGGTGAACCGATTTAGACTACTGGAGATGATGTCTGTGTATAGGGAATTCAGATCGTAATTCGTCCCCTGTCAGATTCAATGCATCTTCGTCACGGATTCCCATGTATTCGGGTTGAAGTGCACATCGTACATGATTCAATCCAGTGTAGATGCCATGCCAAAGCCTAAACCGAAAAGGTGGCCGCAGGCGCTACCAGAATCATGTGCAGCCACAATGTGCATACATGAAGTTCTACGTAGGGCTCGCAGTCTTCTGCGACACTTTAAAGCTCCTGTGCAGCCTGTGCAGCCCACGACTCGAAGCCCGACACCCCATTTCGATTCAAAAGAAGAGCCTGAGGAAAGTGTCGCACCCGTGACGCCTCGGAGACTGCCGCCACATCGAGCCAGGCTGAAGAGCGTTTCCAATCTTATCAGAGCAGGTAAAGAGTTGGAAAGCTCTGCTCAAGTATTTATTGGCATTCATCAGTAAGGGAAGGTTTGCTGGTTGTGATGGTGCTGATGATCATGATGGCGATGCTCACGACGATGATAAAGAAACAGACAGTAGCAGCGATAAAGGACGAATCGGATTGTCATCATGTTTATGGTTGCTGGCTTACTGTTAGTGTCTGACAAGAGTCAGCACAGCAACGATTGTCCCGTGTCCCTCATAAAACTAGCGTCATATGACCAGTATAATGCCTCTTGTTTCGGCCATCGACTACGTGGACGGCGACAGACTGCATCTGTCAGAACGCACTTTATGTGAGACTGAGTGCTGCTGACGTTCATAGTCCTTCTTTCATCGTCGCAGTCATCTGCCTATGACGACGATTGGCATTACTAGTCTAACAAGCTTGTTAGCGAAATTGCTCAAATTGTTTTTTACCCAGTGTTGTATCCCTCTTGCGTTCGATTGTGCCACACTCGAAGATTGTGGCCTAGTTGCTAAAATCCCGAAGCACTCGAGCCGGCAGACCTTGCGAAGTTTCGGTCAGAGAAAGCCTCCAGGTTCCAGGGACTTTGCTTTTCGGGTGCATGGCCCTTAACCTTTGGACTTCGGAGAACATCTTGCGACCAGCAATATATTCCGCAGCACACAAGACGCGAGGCCTTGGATGGCATCACGCAGCACAGACCTGAGCGAGGACACGCCAAAGAAGGGTTGTTCTGCACCGTGGCTCCAACTACGGATCCTACTTGTAGTGCGCTCCTATTTACACCAAGTGCAGCTCTTGCACAGAACATCCCTGCCTGGGGTGAAGTTCGCCACCTGTCCATACATTGGACCGCTGCTTTTCAAGCCGAGAACCACATTTGAAAGGTCGGGGTAGACCCGAAAGGATTTATCAAGAAGCTGTTTCAGCTTCACAGACGGCATGCATGATTGCACGACCTCCATAGGTAGAGGTTTCCTACACCCGCACATTCATCATGGGGCATTGGTACGAGTAGTGCAGCACGAGATGTTGGCTTGGCAGAGCAGCGGGATCGGCGAAATCAATCCCTGAATTCGCCAGATGTTGCGAGTTCTTTGCAGTCTTAGCGTTAATGATTCAAAGCTCCCGATGCAGGTTCCCCGACATCCGCTTTGCATTCGCACCCGAAGCCCATCAGAGCACGACGACAGCCCCAAACCTTGAGCCTCAGGGCAAAGGCCCAGCGAAAGCACTTGCTGATTTCAGTGCAGGCATGCATCCTTGCTGTAGGCCTTGACAGACAAGGCCATAACCTTGTGCACTTCTGCTGGGCAGCGCCCTGGACATGACACCCGTCACCGGTCGATGCCGTGTGGGTTTCATTCCAGCTGTTTGCAGAAAGCTTCCTTGGCAATCGTAAGGCTTGCTGGGAGACATGTCTAGCAGTAATTTAAAACGTCAACTCTGTCGGGGTCGCCGTTGCTTGGAGTCTGCCAGTTGCACTCTTGGTTTCACTGCGCGAGCTGCATGCTGACATGTTGCGGACTCCAGGTCTAGATCGTGTTTCATTTTCGAGGAAAAGTGGAGTTTCAGGAAATCTTGGGTTGTACGTACTAGTAGGGTTGGGTTTGAGGATAGTGGAGCGAAAAGTCCGGAAAGTCAGCTCGAGGCTCCAGCTGTGACATTACCGCCCGCAGCCCGCTTTGAATTTCGGGTGCACGGGTTCTCTAAGCTGTGGTCTTCGTGCTACAACGAGTGATGGCCGTGCTGGCCTCGCTCGGATCAAAGACCGCTGCCGTGACGGTGTGACATGTCATGCCCCACCTCAGTTCCGCTGCTATGAGTTTCAAGGCGACAGAGGAAGTGCCTTGCGAAGCTTTCCGCAGACTCGCTGGCTTCGACGAAAATTCGGGAATGGTCGCCTGGCTTCTGCCATAAACTTGTGAGGGGGTTTTAAGAGGGTACACGTGCTGGGTATCACTGCACTCATGAAGTAATACCTGTACTTCTCTTTCGCGGTTGGTCTGCATCGTGCATGCTTGGCAACAAGCGTCCTTCTACCATGCAAGGCCTCGATAGCTTGTGGTCTCAGCCAGTGTCGGCACCAGTAGAACCTCATGAGGAAGCGAAACTTTGATAAGCCAACAAAGACTCTCTCAAGAAGAGGGCATGCCTTAAAGACCCGAAGACCCTAAGCCCCCGAACCCGAAACGCCACTAAGCGTTCGGGGTTTGCTCTGATCTTCTACACGTAGACTTGCAACTTCGCTGATATATATATATATATATATACATATATACAGATATACAGATATATTCATTCGTTTACGTATATTGACATATTTATGTGTTTATATCTAACACAAATGTATCAAATGAATAGGTATTTCGTTTGCTCGTGTCTGCATGTATTTGCTGATGTATACCCATGTGTGCACTTGCCGATTTTTAGTGTTCGTGTTCAGCCGGAAAGCGACATTCCTGGATTCCTGCAACAGGCTCTCAGACAAGCTCTGCTTGACTCCATCTTAGCGAAGCAGGCTTGCCGAGACTCTCTATGCTAGTGCCCTTGACTCTTGGGCTCGGATGCTTGGAAAGTGGAGGATCTCGGTCTCAGCGTTTCGGGCTCGTTATTGTTCACAAGAGATCAGATTGAAACCCATAAACCGCGTGAGGAGTCAGAGTTACATATCTGGTGCCTGGATTCGGACCTTCTGATGGGTCCCAAACCAAACTTGTGACGTGGTTCACTTCATGTGAAGAGCCTCGACCTCCTTGATGGTGCAACCCAAACTCGGAACTCGGAACCTTTCATAGTGCTTTGAAGAGCTGGGCTCCTAAGTCCTCACCGTCCAAAACGCTACAGTGGGGACCCACTTGGACTCAAGTCCAAGCAACTCTCATGCACCACGCTAAACGTCGGCAGGCCAAGATGCCAGTTGAGGACCTGTCCATGTTTGAGGGCCAGCAGGCACACGCCTTGCTTGCAACTGTGGAGAGTACCAAGTACCGGAAGTATAGGATCCATTTCATTTCATTCATTACGGTTCTTTTCTTTGTGTTCGAGTTTTCGGATGCAAGGGCTTCGGATTGACTGCCGACATTGTGGCTCCATCGCTTCCGTTCCATCTTCGTTCTAAGCTGATTCCGTCTGGCAGGAAATTCACATGGGGCTGTGTACTCATGCTCTGTTGGACCCCAAAGCTGCCGGGGAGCGGTCGTTGGGCCTCATGTCTCATTCGGGATTTTTCAACGGGGCCACTAACCATGCCACGCTTGGTCACACCTGTTTGCTATTGCAGCGGCTTAGGGTGGAGCACACCAGGTGGCTGTCATACGCTGACTGCCCGTTTCGCGCAAGTCAGAGGTTTGAGCGCTTGTTGGCCTTCGGTGCTCTCTGCTGACACGCGTGTCTCTCTCTCTCTCTCTCTGTCTACGTCGCTCTCTCTCTCTCTCTCTCTCTCTCTGTCTCTCTTGCTTTGTCTTTCTCTGTCGAATCTCTACCTGTATATGCCGAGACTGAGTTGCTGCTCCTCGACCCTTGGCACCACATACAACGCTTACAATCTCCACCCGATACTTGTGCCTACTTCCTAAACCGTGACCGCGAAGTCCCCCAGCCTGGAAACCTAGGACCCAGCCCCTCCATGAAATGCTAAATGACCGGCAGTTGCCCTAAAAACCGTAAGGTTAGGGGTTCCCCAAGGTATCCAGGTTGACTGGTGGTTGCTATGCTACATTTTCGACCCTTGGAATATAGACGAACCTGCAGGTCCTCTGCAGCTGGATGCATGACCTCGTGGCGCTGCACCCACTCCAGCGCCCCACAGAAGCAGAGAAGGAGGCCTCGAAGTACCGGAGTTTTGGGTTCAGAGGCTGGGTTTTGTGTGTCTCATAGCGTGGAAAGCCGCGTTGACGAGGAGCAGGCTTTAGTGGTGTGTAAAGTTGTGCGAAGACGCCGGGGGGACTTGGCTCGGGGTTTCGGCCTGGGCCTAGACCTGAACCTCGGAGTCTGAGACCCCAAACCCCAAGAACCGAACCTCACAGGCCACACCCGCCTCCGGCCCAGATGCGCTGAGCAAGCGCTTGTCCGACAGGTGCTGTGCCCGACAGCTGAGCATGCATGCTTTCAGGCTTCGAGTTTCAGGTGAAGCTTCGAAGAAAGGTTTTGGTTCTCCGGGAGGTAGGTGTTTACAGGGTTTGTTTAGGTCTTCTGCCTCGGTTCTCTCTTTGGAAAAACTTGATTACCCTTCAGCCTTTTGGGCATTTTTGCGGGTAAATCCATGAGAGTGCTCTGCAAGGCAAGTTTAATTCTGGGATGTATAGACGGATGAACCGCATTCGAATCTGTCGTTCCTGTAGAGAGCGTTGTTGAATATCAACGTTCGCATAGCTCCTTCAAAGCTTGCGCAACCCGTTTCTCTGAATCGCAAGTTCTCACAGACGTGCGCGTTGTTACAACGGCGGTTCTGGCTAATAAGGTGCATGGTTGCATTGCCGTTTCAGTCCGCGTAGCTGAGCTCCTGCTGAAAGGTCACACTGTTGGACGAGCTGAGTGAGATCTAGAGATCTAAACTTAGTGCTCAAGATGAGTTGATCCTGGTTTTCGTCGAGCGTGGTTTTGGATCTCGAGAGCGTCCTTACACGTACACTCTCAACCGTCCAAACACAAACTCTCCCAGCCCTGAGCTCGAAACAGCAGAGTCTGCAAAAACAAGGAGGCTCCAGTCTGAGATTGATGGCGATACCGGGCTGCGCTTCTTCCAAGTCATGCACGAGGCCACCTTCGATGACAAAGGAAAAGCACTCTCGGCTTGGTCAATTTGTCGTAGGGGCCTTAATAATTGGAGTAGGGTTTGAGGGTATCTTATACGGTAATTATAACAAGGAACGCCCACCACCTATTTTACTTATGAAAGCCCCTACATGAACTTGTCTGGGGGTTGTTCCGGCCGTGCGGTGTCGCGGCAATGCTCCTGCAGTCGCCGATAAACTCGCTTCGGCGGTGCTGGGAACTCAAGCTGACATGGCATAGCGCACCAACCCTGCACTCCTGGACCTCAGAACATCCAAGCCCTAAACCCTAGACTCCAAGCCCCAAGACCCAAGCAGAGAATCTACACCCTTGACTTACCTTTGGTTAGTAGGGAATGGACCGGAATGGAGGAACGGGGTACAACTATAACTTCCATTTCTAAAATTCTTCCATTCCCTACAAAAAAAGGGTAAGTTGACCCAACTGTCCCGAGGCCGGAAGCCTGAAACCAAAGGTCTCGAACCCTGAAAGGCACCAAGACCCGTCGATCTTCAGGCCCCAAGGGCCCTCTCCAAAAGCCAAGGATCCTAAAACCGCCAACGGAAACATGGCAACTTTAAGCCCGAAATCCTACAAAACTCCACCCCAAGAAGCCGAACAGGGCCGCCAGTCGGGCTTCGACGTGACATGGTCCGGACTCGTAGGTTGGGGCCCCAGGTATAAGGTTTGGGTTCCACGGCTCATAGGGCTGTTGAGGGCGTTCGGCATTTTGAGGGTTTGGGATTCTGGGCCAGGGGTTGGAGCTCGAAGTTTGGGTGGGCTTTGGGAACCTTGCTTCGGGGTCTTTACAACAAGAAGGTTCCTACTTTTTGATACTATCTGGGGCTCTATCCCTAGTAACTAGTACCGTGCAAGTCTTAGATTTTCAATTTCTTTGCGGCCATTGCAATGATGTCTGTTCTCCGCGGGTTTGCCTGTTGTTACAGTTGTGACTAGCAGGACAATTCATTTGATTGATTGGGTCTGGTCGTGAAGTTCTTAGGTGTCAGAAGCAGCTTGGGTCGGAATGCATTCGAAGGTCTCTGCTCAAGCTTGACTTGACAAGCAATTAGTCAAGATGTGGCATTCCATGCCGCAGGTTGCGGGTGAGGTCATCCTTGGCATTCTCCGTGAAGGGTGCTTGGTACCACTTCCGATGAGGCATCCGCAACAGCCCTATGGATGCCAAACGTTTGCGCAGTTCTTTAGACAAGAAGTCCCCCCACTTTCAAAGGTTCAGCACAAAATCGAAAGCCGTTGAAATACCTACAACGCACCCTGAACTCTATGGGGAGCTGCCAGTGTCCTCAGGCCCCTCCGGGTCGGCGTGTCCTACCTCGGTCGTTGGAGTGCTGCTGACGCTCCTGTGGAACTTCTGCTTTGGGTTTTAATGCTTTGGGGCTCTACATATGGTGTCAAGTCATATAGGTGCTACAACCACTTCGGACATGGCACACCGGAAGCTTACTTTAATTCGACTTCCTAGCCCTGAAAGTCCTCTGCCCCTTCCTAAGCCAAAGTGCTTAGGGTTCCAGCGCGGAATGCGTGTGGAATTGCAAAAAGCCCTTGGTGTGGTCAAGACAAGTAGTGCCCGAGGCTGAACAGTTTTGTGCGCACTGACCGCTTCCGCAAGATATCTACGAGGCAACTGCTATGGGCGAGGGGAGCCTTGACTTTCCCATGAAACATCAAGAAAGACTGGAGCAGGTCCGTGTCTCGCAGTCAACTTCAACCCCTGCCGAACCAACACGTGAGGCTGGCTTTGGCACAGAGTGGAGGTTTCGCTGCCGCTACTTGTCACAGATACTGCTTTGAGCGATTACAGAAGACTTTACATGCCTCTCGATCCCGTAATATGAACCCTCGGCGGCTCAAGGTTTGCCCATGCATTCCAAGCTTCGCGGATTTGACAGGCAGAACTAGTTTCAGTCTTAATTAGAGTCCTAAGATCCAAATCGCGAGGCTGTCTGATCGAGCCCTGCACGCCGATGCATTTGCCATGCCTGGCCTGCCTTGTGCTGCTGAGGCAAGCCCGGTGGATGTCTGCGAGACTTTGCGAACTTAAACCCTTCTTGGTTGGTCTCGTGGGTTTTGTTCTTTGCAACCCTCTGGAGCATCATCTCAAGCTTCTGCCGGCAGCTGCAGAGGACCTGTCATGTACAACCTACAAGGTCAAGGCGTACTCTGAGAGTTCCGACTACTAGCACGACTAGCAATCAAACTCAAAGCCCTTAACTTATCGTCGGTCTCCCAGGAGTATACTGAATGTTGCCGAATATCATTCGGGCAGGTCATGGCTCTGCGCAAGCGAAGAGACCTGCAGCGCGGAGCTCTGTCCTCAGCCATGGGCACTAGAAACGAGCCCAAATCGTGATATCGGTAATCGTCTTACTGGAAAGTGTAGTCGTGATGGTGTAGAAGTGGCAGTAGCAACAAGGTAGCCCTGTCGTCATGTTGCCCATGATTCTTTAACTGCTGCTGGCTGCTTGCACCGTCAACACCGGCAAGTGGAGGAGAACTCAGGGAGCACGCAAAGACACGGCACTGCTGAGCAGGCAGACCAGACCACAGAAGCCAAGATCTTCGCAGGCTTGGAAGAAGAACTGCACCCCAAGCAGACAAGATGCCTGAGCTTCGAGGAGACCAGAAGCCGAGAAGCTCAAAACTTCAAGGATCCAGGTTATATGCCAGAATCCTGGTCACCTGGTGATGAGTCCTTGGGATTTGATGGCATCTAAGCGACCTCTTTGCTCCTGAGATCCAACCGTCCTGAAGAGAAAAACGAATCTTACTACATGCATGATTTGGATGGTAGCCAGACTCCCTCGCCTGCTAAGCCTCGAGGTCGTCATGCAAAGCCTTTGACGATTCCAATGCTTTGGAGCGAGCTGGCCATGGTGAAACTTCGCAGCCGAGCGAGGCAGCGGGCTTAGGAGGAAACATCCCTGGAGCAGTGTGGCCTGGAATCCCAGACGGTCTGGGTGCTTCGTCATAGCGATTCGGCTGATTCTGCCTTCGTGTGAGTGTTGTCTTCAAACCCCTTGCCTCGAAGTTGGTGGGGTTCGGATAGGTCTTTGATGTCTTTGTCATCATGGACGGCGGGTCATCTAAACTTCGAAAGCCCCCGTTCTGCACCCTCTGCTTCGGAGGCATTGTGGCTTCAGGGTCCTGTGTGTATGTCCTGCTGGGGGGATGAATTTAATCTTAAGTTGTCACCACGTCTGCAGCAAAGTTGGCCTGGGTGCCTTCATCATGAGGGATTGGCTAGTCAAAGGACGTTCTTTCATATTCCATACAGTACACGTCGCTTCGGGAGTTGCAGTTACAGAGGCTGCATGTGGCCCGCAGGTTCCCCTCTTTTCCCGACGCCACAGCGACCTGTCCCCACACCCAGTAGCCTAATTGTACTTACACGACCTACACCTTAGCCTTAACCTACCAAAACCTATTTTTTTGTGTGTTCTTATGACCATAACTACCCATGACCCTCCAATCCATTCTAGACCCTGATATGGAGTTTACAGGGGCCCTACAAAAAAGTAGGTTCCGATGGTTTCCCTGGCCCACACCGTGGGGGTAAAAGTGCATAGCAACACCTAGTAGCTGAGTGGATACACTTTACATTTTTTTGGGATCATATGACCCACTATAGAACTGAAAGTGTATACTTTTGGGGGCTTATGAATTCCAAACCCTAAACCCCTAAACCCTTAAACCCGAAACCCGAAACTCAGTAACTAAGAACACGAACTCAGCGAGGTGGGGCTGGTGACCTTGCAAGTGGCCGGGGACCCGGGAGCCGAGGGGCTTCTTGCGGATCATATAGGGCTCCCTTTGAAGGGGTCTATCATGGCTGCTATAAGGGATCTGTAAGGATATAGTATAGGGGCCTAAATAATTAGAATCGGGCTCCTTTAGAGGGGTCTATCAGGGCTACTATAAGGGATCTATACAGATATAATAAAGGGGGCTTAAAAAATTACCAATACTTTTTTGGGGGGGATCAGTATTATAACTAAAGTATATAATGCCCAAAACCATATTCTAATTATTGAGGCCCCCGATACTAGCCGGGAGACTTCATGGCCGCTGTGCTACAAAGGCTGGCGACGGCATTCGGTGGCAGATTGGCCATGTGCCGCTGCCCCAAGCTGCTTGAGCTTCCGTGGACCTTTGTGCCCCTTTGCAGCTTCCCCATTCTTATACTATACTACAAATCACGAAACTTCCTCTACTACACCATGTTATATCATAATATTTTATCCAGCTGCGAGGCTTCCCGAGAGGCGGTCGAGGGATCTGCAGCGAAGCCAAGAGCGGCTGGCTGAGCCTTGGCTGCGAAGCTGAGTGGGGGTTTCTGATTTCGAATCCCACCCTGGATTAAATTCTGGCGGCCTGTGGCGGCGCTATAAATCTGTCCTTTCAGTGATGTTCCGAGTCGGGCTGAATGGTGACGGCACCGTAAGACAACCCTGGCATTCGTGTTAGCATACAGGTCATGCCGTAATTCCTTTAGTTGTGCCCCGACTCTCGAAGTGTTGTGGTTTGTTGAATGCTCTCCGTGGCTCCGCCTGGTGCAATCCGTCGATTCTTCACATGCTGCTAAAGGTTAATATGGTCGCCGCCCGTGTTGTAAATCGGGAGGCAGGAGTGGCTTCCTTGTGGTTGAACCCCTGCACTGACCCGGTTGAATACATCTGTGAAGTCATGTAGAACCTGGATTCAAAGTCTTCCGAATACAAATCTATGAATCATATGATGTGTCAGTTGTATGTTTCGAGGTCTGCAGGCAACAGGAATCGCCGATGGTGAAAAGCTGTCGTCTGAGGAAGGGATCATCTCCCCGCTGCGCATGTCTGACGTCACGTGGACTGACAGAGAGCTCTTGGATTCGCTTCAGGATATATAGTATATAGGTAATATCGGTGTACCGACAAGCCGAGACACTCCTGCCGTCAGTGTGGAAGAGGCAAGCAGCTTGTAACCCATGATCGGGATGGGTGGCTTAAAGTACACTACTCGACTGACAGCAGGAATGACTCGTTTGGATATCCTTATTTGCAGCACCTTCGAAATAACTGCACCCCTGAGACAGAGCTGGTCGTCGTTCTCCGGGGCCTCCAGGGCCGCTACTCGGCAGCATATGTCGGGTTGCCTGATCTCCAAGCCGGTGTGGGATTGGTTGGTGTTTCTCACTCCAAGTACAGTACTGGAGAAGTGGTAGCAACAATCCAGCTCTGCCCTGTCAAGGGTGTTCCGTGGTGTTGAAGTTCGTGATATGCTGCCACCGTTCCAGGCATCCGCAGCGCGCGGACTTCGCTGGTGGGAGAAGTGCAAGAAACAGAGGTGGGCGATCTAGACGGGCGGTTTGAGGTCGTAGATTTAGGGATCTGCATAAAATGACTAAGTGGTTCGTTTCTTGCACCATTCGCCCAAGATGCCTCAAGCATCTTCAATCATAAACCTCCGACCATGCTTTGGCTGGCTGAGTCTCTTGCGACTAAAACCTTGAGGGTGGCTGCTCTTTGTTCAGTGATGTTTGGGTCTTCCTTTCTAGAGGTGGGTACGGCACCCTGGGAGTTACGGTCTCGGGTCAGGGCCTTTCAAGGCCAGCTGCCGGAACAGTAAGCCCACAACAGTGCAAGCGCACCTGGCTGGTAGACTGCAGGGCATAACCTACAATGCACTATAATCAGCATAGCGGTGGGCTGCACACTGCGGGGCACCACACCACCTGCTACCTGAGAGTTCGATGCGAGTTCGTAGCTCGACTGTGCTCGGAAGCAGAAGAGCTTCCCTGTACTTTGACGAGAAACTAGAATGGAAAGAATGAATTACATCAACGTGCAGCAGTCCTGTTGCCACTAGTAGCGTTGGGCTTGTTTGTAGTTTGGCAGTTCGCACAATCTGCGCACGATCGTTCATTGGTACGACCGTTGTCGTTGCTTTTATTTGTGCTGTTGTTGTTGTTGTTGTTGTTGTTGTTGTTGTTGTGGTGTCGTCGTCGTTTTTGTTGCTGCCACTGCTCTTATGGCTGACTGACTGACTGACAGGACCTTGGCTGGCTGGAGGACGGCATGATGTAAAATTCCATCTTGGAATGACTCCCTGTCGGTCTCACCAACCACGTTCGGCGATCTGAAGGTTGTCAGGTGATTCTTCGGGCTTTTCGAATTTCGAACGGTTTTATGCAGGTGGTCTGGAGTTGAAGCTTTACTGTCTGAAGCCAAGTGTGAGTTTGCTGTCAAGTCAGCTCCGCTTTCGCAGGACACACGTGGGTCTTTTGACGTCTAGTCCCTGGAAAGACGTGAGGTGAGCTGTCGCCTCCGTGCAGAATCTCCGAAACGAGTCTCATTGTCTTGCTCGTTCTTTTCGTAGAGTCAAGGGGACCAGGGCAAAGCATGGCCCTCTCTCCCGGTTCAAGACGACACCTCCTTTCTGGATCCTGCTGCCCTGAGTCCGAACCGGAGGTTGCGTTGCCCTAACTGTTCAACTAGTCGTCAGAGTCTGCTACGGATTCTATAGGCTTCCGATTCTCAGCATTTTAAGGGGCGGGCTAGTCTCGCTAGCTGTCATGGCCCCTCAAGCCGGAGGACAGCGCGCTGCCCCGGGCCACGGCGCTCAGCCGAATGACCGGCCAAGGCGCAGCAGGGCCGGGAAGTCCAGGAAGCCATGACACCAAAGGAGCGAGCCAGAGCCTCCAAAGCCCCCTAATTAAGGAATAGGATATACCTTGTTAACATCATAAATTAGGGATCCTTTAATTTAAGGCATATTCCTTAATGGGGAGTCCTGAAAGCCGTTGCTGTGACAACTTCTTCGTGGAAGCCTTGCTCGCGTGCTCAGGTGCCGTAGCCATCGGCCACCGCGCTGGGCTCGCATCCCTGTGGCGCTACAAGGCTGATGCTCCTTTCCGGGATTCTGTGGGAGCCTTGGAAGCTCAACCGGAAAAGTGTTTCAAGCAGAATTGTCCCCAAGCTGTGCGATGTGACTTTTATCTAAGTAAGGCCAAAGTCCTTTTGGTGCCACGGGTGGAAAGTGGCATTCGGAGCAGCGGTCAGTTTTCGGATCAAGGGTTGTAGGGTGAAGCAGGAACTTTCGGCTGCAGATCTCGCTGTCGGGACAGGCACAGGGCGGACCAGCCTGGACTCTGACCACGACAGTCAAGGCCAACTGCCTTAGCAATCAGAAGTTCTAAGGCAGCTGAATCAAAGGGGGAGGAGTCGGGATAAGGGCCTTGGCTAACGTTCCACATTTTATGGTTAGGGGACCGTAGATGTAGGTCATGATGTACAAACTTGTGCAAGGAATCGCCAAGACGAAGTCTGCATTGGTTTTCTCATGGTTCCCGGTTCCTGGGATACTCCACGCACTCGGATGATGCCTCGCGAGCCCGAATTTTGGAACTGGTTCTTCGAGAGAGGCTCTGGAAGCTCGAAGGGCTCTCTTCGAAAAGCTACATCTTCTCTTCGTGGTAGGTTCCTGTCAACTCCGCATCCTGGGACATCCATTAGATGCCAGAGCTAAGGCATGTGATGCCATGTGAATGTTTCTCGGGCGTCACGGGCCCACGAACCAGAGCGGCCGGTTCAGACTTTTGACACATGAGTCTGGAATCGCCACACTGGCACAACCCTTCACCCGCGAATGAAGGCAGCACCTGCGCTGCTGCAGGTGTCGCACCACGAATGGGAGAGCGTGACCCTCACCGTTCTCAGCGAGACTTGGCCACGTGACACGGGGGAAATTGCGGGAGCTTTCAGGATTCTCGTCACACACCCACTTGCAATGCTTGGTTGGGCCAGACCTCTCCAGTGGCGTATCCTCCAGTGACCTGTAATAAGACTTTTTTGGCCTTACAAGATCAGAACCATTTTAACCTGATCTTCCTGTGTAGTCCCAGCCTGTTTTTGACCGTGAGGATGATGGCAGACTTCTCCTTGCAGCGAGCGAGGACGGCTTGATCAAAGCTTTTGCCAGCTGTAGACGTTATCGGTTCTTGGTGTGATTGTCGATTCTTGGTGTGATCCGATCCTGCCCGCTCGACTGAACATTCGCTTGCTGCTAGATCTAGGACTGTTGCTGTGGATGCTAGCCACAGCAGACATGCTGCAAATGCGACCTCGCCTTTTTTGCGGCTGATCAGCTTTGATGTCCGACGTGGCATGATACTTCTGTGCACAATGAGTCTTGCACACTCGACAATGATTTTCATGTTCGAGCTTGACGCCCAATCAACTAGTGAACCTTCGAGTGCTCATCTCTAGCTCGAAATGCATCGGTATGTGATGCCGATCTTACTACGGCAAGTGCAAGGCTCAAGAAATCTGAATGCCTCGCGCATGCAGTCTATCTGAGCCACCTGAGGTTTGTCCTCGTGAAAGAATTTCAACTTGCGAGCATCTCGAAGCTAGATTTTCTTGATCCGGGGCCGCCATGCCGGCTGATGTCTCCATGCCGGCACCTGCACAGCAAGGTATCGAGTCCTACGAGCTTCATGGCCGGTGCCTAAAGGTGCCGCTTGGCATGTCCAAAAACAGTTGCCTGATGGCATGTACTGCCACTTGTGCAGTAATACAAAAAGTCAACCATTCGCCCGGCGAGGCCAGTGACATCCAACAACCAAGTCAGACAAGTGATGATGTGAGGCAACTCACCTCATTTAGATTCAACTACTGTAGTTTTATTTTGGCTCAAGGTCCAACAATTAAGTGAGACGACCCCTTCGAAGATGCAGCCCCGGAGGGTTGGGTGCGTTGCTGCCACCCTATGGCTGGTCATCTCGCCCTGCGCATGTCAGGATGCCATGTTCCTCCCCAGTCATGGCTCCTCGTGGCAAGAGCAACCGGTGAAAGCGGCCCCGAGCGAGGCTCAGCATGGTTACAAGGGAAGTCTCGAGGCACCTCAGAGAAGGTTACTATTAGAACCAGGCGACCTGCTCGATGGCCTGGGCGAGTTGGACTTGCCCCTTGTTTTTGCTCTTGTACTTGCGGCGCCCATCCTTATGTGCGTGGGCAACCTGATCGGGGCACTGATCTACAGCAAATGCCCGGGATGCAGACCGCAGCTGGAAGATGCAAGACGCCGTTCTGGAGGATCTGAATTTGAATATGGTCTGTTCGAAGGATTCTGTCAAAGCGGCTGCATCACATGTTGGGGATGCTGCTGCCCAGCTGTTCTTTGGTCTGCCACGGCAAGCTCCCCCAAAAGCAAGTTTTGGGGATTGACCTTTTGGCAGATGTTGACTCTGAGGGTTGGGCTTGGGGTTGGCATGACCATTCTTCTTGTCCTATGTCCAGTTTTGGTGGGCTTCTTGTCCCTCCCCTTCTTCGTGATGAGTGTGCTGCATCGCCAACATTTGCGCCAGAAGTTCGGCCTGGAGCACAGCACCTGTAGCAGTGTCTTCAAGGATGTCTACACTTGGTTCTGTTGCCAGCCGTGTGCCACCACCCAAGAAGCCCTTCAGGTTGGCTACACAGGCGATCCAAGTCTCAACGATCCTTTGAATGATGACAGCGCGCGCACCATCCCTCTGCAAATGCGCATGGTCATAGATCTCTAGGTGCGGGAGTTGCTGGCGATTTCCAAGTATTGCTTTCAATTCAGTGTTTTAGTTTGGCCACCAGGGAGAATTCCGTGAGTGGACAGTCCCTGCCATCCGCGTAGAGACATGAAATCGAGATTCACCAACAAAAATGAAGCCTGGTGCTTTCAATTGTACAGCAGTTGGTGTTGTAAAGACAATGTCAGCCTCCAAAAGACATGCTGCTCAGAAAAGACTCAACAAAAGCCTCCAAAAGAGTTGCTGCTCAGAAAGGACAACAAAAGCCAGCAAAGCCTGACATCATACAGCAAATACATCATGACCAGGCCTGCTCACATACCTTCTGCGTCTTTGTAATTGTGCAAACTCCAACGTGCAGCCACTGCACGGCTCGATGATCCTCAACACGGCAGAGCTCTAAGCCCAGGAGGTGCAGCGTTCCGAAGCTTCAGCCTCATGCTTCCACGATCCAGATAAAATCCACCCTGAATTCTGCAAGAGGTGCAGACGGACGATGGCCTCGGGGTGGCAGGAGTCTTTTGGCCCGCCCAGGAGCCCTGCGCCCGAGTCGCATCCCAGCTGCAGAGGGTAGCGAGATCGATGGGTTCCGGCTGAGATCTTGGCTCCTTCTGACGGCACCCTGCTTATGTAGCATGCACAATGCACAGGCATTCGTGTATCATGTCATGGCCATCACTCCGACCGGCGGAATGCCCCAGCAGATATCTCTGTGTTGGCGGCTTTTGACCAGACTGTAAAACTAGCCTCCGGCTCTTTGAGGCTTTTTGGTCGTCATTTGCTTATAACCATGGCTGGCACAGGACCAAGTGTGGAACCAGGACGAGCATACACACACTTGGTTGCCGTCAAAACCGCACATGCTGCACCTGTAAGTCATTCCAACAGCACCTTTCTGCGGTGCTCTGCATCATCTTTCCTGGATTGAAATGATTAAACAGACCTTTTATTCAAACTCGTCCAAGAGTCTTGTGTCCCAGTGAAAATCGATCAAGAACGATGTGCATCCCACCCGAATATTTTCATACGTGTTGGGCTACCCACAGAATTGATACTGTCATGCTCGAGAATTGCTCGCCTCTTTCAGTCATGCCTGTGCCATTCTCCATACTTATAGTGGTTCATCGGCGCATGCTTGAGTAGATCCTGCAGCACTGCCCAAGTCCTGAAACCCGGATGCTTTGAGTTCATGGTAACGTGACAATCAGCCAGGCCTTCTACAAGATTCGACAAGCAGTGGCACATGTTGTGCTCTTCGTGAGTCCTCATGGTTACTGGTAAGCTACATAGTCTCATGGGCTTACCGGTATTTAGAGACTCTTCCACTACCAGTCAAGCTCGCTTCTGCCTGATATATGGAATACCTGTTTGTGCTGAGCATGAACGTACACGCACACACTCTTCCTGTGTACACGTAGCAGGTTCACTGGCAACAGGAATTCATACCATAAATGCAGCTGTCAATGTTCTTTGTTTGGAAATCTAGGACCAGTAACAGAACTGCAGCGACCGCTTGTTGAGGCCCTTGCGGCATGTGCTCCTAACGTCCACAGCTCTTCAGTCCTGAGTCAGTCTGCATCCGAGGCGGCCGATCTTCTTCAAAGGCTGCGCTGCCATCAGGCGGTGCCTGCAGAAGGCCACGCACGCGATTGAGTTCGTTCCTTTCGAGTTGTCATTCTGAGTTGCTCGGCGGTTGAGCCATCGTCAAGAAATGTGCCTGCTTCGGTTATCTGGTCTCGGGATGTTCGAGTCCATTTTACTCTCAGTCGCAATGTCGGATGCTTGCCATGTTTCACACCACCGTTGCAGCTCATCACAGAAGCCCGAAGCTAGAAGCCCAAATCCTACCCCTCAGTGCAACATCCCTCAGACTTCCGAAGCACGCTAGTCACCCTAGTCCCAGAAGCCATAAGCCCGGCAATCCCAGAACCGGCAGCTTCCACCCTCAAAGCTCTCCCCCCCCCCATCGCCCCAAAAAACAAGAAGCGAGCTTCATTGGAGGCATCGATTTCCTGGAGCTGGGGGCCGGCTGTGGGGCTCTGGCGTGCGGCGGCTGAATAGGTTACATATCGAACTACATCTATCTATCTAGCTATCTACCTATCTATCGACGAGACTACTCTCAATACTGTGGCATTTTCGGTTTCCGGGCTGTGAATTGTAAGTGTTTGAACTCTCGAGTAGCTCCTGGCTTTGATTTGGTGTTTCAGTGCTGAGGGTTTGCCTTGGTTGGTATGTCCTTGGGAGTGTGAAACAAGGGTTGGGGCATCCGGGTTTTAGGGTGGGTGGGCTCAAGTCGTTCGGGTCGTTGGGGTGGCTTCACGGTCTTGAAAGGTGAGTTTCGAGTGTGTTAGAGTGGACGGCTCATGTTGGCTTTGGGATTGGAGAGGGTGAGGCTTCGGGGGTGGGGAATAGCCAGAAGCCTGACTCACGACGGGTCACCAGGGTCACCTTCCCTAGACCGAAATCCTAAACCCTGAAAACTCCGAATACCCGAAGACCTGCAACCTGCAACTGCAGGTGCTCTTTCGCAAAGGAGCCAGCTCTGAAGCGAGCGGCTCGCCTGTCAGATCCCTTCTTGGGACTTCTGGGCGCAGGGATGAGGATGTCGCTAATCCCCGCAAGTGCTAACTCCCAAGACTTCGAGCCGCGATCTCTTCAAAACCCTGTCGAATCATGTGACCCATCGTAGGGTTCGGGGCTTATTGAATATCTTGTTTATGCCGGCAGGGTTCATTTAACTCAGCTCCTTCTGCTTCTGACCTCTTGCCAGCTGAACCTACAAAGCTCTGATGTCGAGACCGTGAATCGTCAGCCCTCGACATGCGTGAAGTCCACAAAGCATGAGCGCCCAACCCCAAACCTCTCAACCAATCACAGAAAGTTGAAAGAACGCCCACAAGCCAAAAAGCCAACCGCCCGAAAATCCCCGAACCCGAAGACGTAAGCCGCTACGCCAGGTGATTGCTTCCGACTTGCCTGATGTCGTTCCGCTCATGACCGAGAATTCCAGGCTTAATGGCTCCCTGGCGGAAAGCTTTGGCTTTGCGATTTAGAGTTTGGGTTTTCCGATGCAGGATTCGAGGTTGCTTCACCGGTTAGGGGGGGCTTCGGGGTGCTTTCCGTACTACACCTGCATACCCTCAAGAAGAGACCCCAGTGGGTCTATAGAGCCCCTGGGCTGGTGACTGGCCTGTTCTAGCGCATGGCGCATGGATTAGAGACCCAAAAAGGACATATCATAAGCATAAGCATGTTATAAGGATATCCCTACCTTATCGGGCTTGATTATAATCCAAGGGTAAAAGGAGGGACCCTTAATAAGGACCTCTAGGTATATATCCTTAGTACAGCCATTATATACCCATCATATAGCCCATTATAGGGTAGGGGTCCATTAAGGGTCCCTGCTGTTCCCCTTTGATATAATGTGGTTTCTATGGGTACCCCATTTTTTTTTGTTTGCTTATGTGCCTTTTTTGGAGCCCTAATCGAACAAGGTGCAGAGATTGAGTGCGTGCCACTGCCTTTCGGAGATTTGCCGGCCCTCGAGCAACTGCCTCTTGGAGAGCTACTTTAGGGGCCTGAATGGGGGAGTTCCTTATTATAAGTATAGTATAACGTGCCTCAATACCCTATTCTAATTATTTTGGCCCCTACATTACGAGATCCACGGAAGAGGGCCTGAAGGCAGGTACAGAGGGAGTTAGACTCACACTCCTCAATCGGGTTCTAGCTCAGTTGTGGCTTACAAGTACCAGTACCAGGGAAAGCATTCGGACGAACAGCGGTACACGGGTATCGCATTGGCGCTCGAGTCTAAGTCTAAGATACATGTAAAGCCGCTTGTTCTTTGTCTAGACTCCTCATCTCGCCCGGTGTAAACTCCAAGACTCCCTTGTCTCCTCTTCGGTTGTTGTCTCAGGACGCTCGGTCCAGCACGAGTGGTGGTGGCTTGTGAGGTGCTTTACTGGGGAGGCCCGCATGACACGAATGTAGCGTCAGATTGTCTGCAACATCGTTCTGCGCAGCAACAGCCGGGCTAAGGTTGCTCCTACCACTGACTGCTTTTGGAAATTTTTGGAATGTGTACTGAAAACTGTCAATCCATTGTACTCTTGCTAGTCTTACGACGTTCTCGTGATAGTGCTGTATCGGCATGAGATTTATACAACGCCCGCCGCCACCACCATCACCACCACCACCACCACCACCACCACCACTACCGGACCACCACGACTGCTGCTGCTGTTATGCGAACCCGCAATATATTCTGTTATGGTAAATCATGCTAAATCTGCCGTTAGTACATGTTAGTTTGTGGTTGTTGCTAGCGCCGCTACTACCCTCATGCCTACTATAGTAGTAGTTGTCGTGATTGCTACGACCAGCTGTTTTAGTGATAGAACGGTGTGGGTGGCGGTGAATGTGACTACTGTTTCCTCGCAGGCTGATGTGCTTAAGCATGCCCGGTTGTTGCTACCACTTCAAGTACATGCCGTCAGGCTGGAACATCTTCGAGGATGACACGCGGGACCAATACAGGGGGGAGCGGGACGGGGAGCGGTCGAGGAAGCAGAGGGAGCTGTTAGAGAGGGCTCCTTCAAGGGAAGGGCAATGTCGAACAAGCTTCACGTGAGAGCTCAGGCTAACAAAGTTGATGTGACAGGCTGTGGCTGTAGTTTGCATTCCGAGTCGATGTGTCGGTCTTTTGGATTTAGTTGTTCAAGGTGACTTGATTCGAATCTTCAGTTCGAGCAGGTGCAATCCCAGGCAAAGACATGCAACGCCTGTATCCTTGGTCATCAGGCCTTCGCAACACGTGTTGGCGGTCAGTTGCGTTTACTTTTCCCCATATACCTCATCATCAACAAAATGATCGATACGTTCGTCGTTGATGAACATGACTCGGCAAGAACAGATCTCGAGGGAACTCTGCTCACTGTGCTATCCTGGCCAAGCTCCCAAAGTTCTTCCGGAACTCGAACCGGCATTCCTAAACAAAAGCGATGTCTCGAGGACTCCGCTCTCAAAATTCCAAAAGCGGGATGTACGTCTTGTGGAGTACATGTACATTGCGATGCAATAGCAAGAGGCGACGAAAGCCTGCAGGATTTTACAGGCCATGTTGATTCGGCCTCTCAACCCGAAGTATCCCTCGACAAGTGTTGCGCGTCGAAAGCTTGATTGTATCTGTCCGGGTGCCAAAAGCTCAGCACCCTGTAGCTCCCAAACTGCTACAATCCAATCTGCCACTGCCCAAAACACTCCGAACAACGACTACCTTGCGTTACTCTTCGTTCCAGCCCTATGTTCCGGCAAACCCCAGCCGCACTCAGCTTCAGTCCTCGTAAAAAATGCCCAAATTCCACCCTCCGCCCGTAAAAACCCTAAACCCCTAGACCCCTAAACCCTAAAAACCCTGAACCCCTAAACCCCCAAAACCTAAAAGCCCGATCCCGCGAGGAGCCTCTGGCCGAGACCTTGGCCGCAGCGCTGGCGGCGCCTTTGGCAGCTGCTGTCCTTGCAGCGGTGATCCGCCACTTGGGAAGTGAGGGGCCTGAAAGGCCTCGTTTCAGCGATCTATGGGGTTTAGGGTTCAGGGTAATGGCTTAAATAATTGCCAATTTACTATTTGGTGCGGTGGGGGGGGCCTTATTGTAATTGTAGTATAATGGGCCCCAGGACCCTATCCTGACTATTAGGCCCCTTTTTTTTCCGAGCAACGTTTGAGGGCCCGAGCCACCTAATTAGACGCTAGTGGTAATGACTTCTGATGTTGCTGACGTTTAGGCCTTGTGTTGAGTAGCGTGGTGACCGCCGCTTCTTGGGTTCTTGTTGGCTGATTCAGTCGGAGGTGCGTTCGACAGACTGGGGTCGTTGAAGTCGTTAAGTGCAAGTTTCGGTCGCTTCCGTAAGGCTTTCCAGGCGGCGCTGGAGAGCGGCTTGCTCAAAACCAACACCACATCGTCCCCAAGGCCATAATGTGATAATTATGCAATAGTAGCAGCAGTGGTAACAGTATCAGTAGTAATTGTAATACTATAATCACAAGAATGTCATAACATGACATGTCCCCTGGCCCCGAAGCTGCCAAAGCCAAGTCACCAAAGACCCCTTGCATCCGGCGTCACTTTCAGCCTGTTGAGAAAAAAGCCCAGGCGATCCCCCGCGTGAGATGCAAGCCCTGGAGATGCTGAAGGAGGGCTTTTGTAGAGCATACTTATGGCAGCATACTTAGGGACTTAGGGTTCGGGGTGTAGCAGGGGAAGAAGCTGTACTTACTTCAGGGTGCAGATAGATCAGCTGGGTATGGTTTACCCACACGGAAGCTGCGTCCAAACTTGGGTCGACCTTTTGCGTAGATATGGTCAATATATACTTCAATGCTACGTACTGGTATGACATACAGCAAAGAAAGACAGAACTCGAATTGTCTGCCTTTTGGATCCAAGGGAGCGGTGTCGACGGGCTTGCCAGGTTAAGCCAAAACACCTCTACACTGTGCTTGGGCCTATATTATGTCTTGTTGTTTTGGAATCAGTTACCTTGTTCATTCACGGCTGCCTTTTTCAGGAATGTCGTTGAGCTCGATAGGAGAAGATCGAGCACTGTGTTTTTCGGTATGACTTCAGGAACAATTACTGCTGATTCTGTTCTGTAGTATAGCCCGATACTTCGGAGAAGTTCCTGTCATCGTTTCTGCCCCTGGAATCCTGAAAGCCTTGTCCCGAAACCCTCCAGGAGAAGGGCGTCCAAAGTTTCCAGCAGATGCCCGCCTCGGGCGCGCCCAAAGTTGGTGAGCTGGGAATCTGGCTCCTGCAGAGACATGGAGCGCAACTACTCGAAGAGTTGGGGCTCCTGGTCCATTCTCCCTCCTAGGGCCAGGGCCCCTCCGATTTTTTTGCGCAAGCAAAGGTCTTGATTTTCCCGTCGCTTTAGAACATCCTAAGTGCTTCCGCGCAGCTGCTGAGGCTATCAGGTTGCTGGCTAACAGCACCCCCTTTGCTGAAATAGCCTCCTTGAACGCAGCTCCGTAGGTCAAGACGGAGGCATGTGCGGCGGCAAAAGGCATCATTTTGGTTGGGATTCACAGGTCGTAGTCCATGGTCTGCTTCGTCTGCAGCGTGGTCCTTCTAGATGCTGAGCCACTGCGCTAATACTGTACACTCACCGCAGGACAACGTCATGCTGTTCCACATCCCGGCACATGATGAGCCAAAGGAGTTGCATCTGTCATCGTCATTCTTTGGAGCACGGCCTTTGTGTTCTGAAAGCCTGATGCAAAAAAGCACTGCAAGGGCATCGGGCATCACTTTCAGCGATTTCCTGCCAAGTAACCATGCAGAAATGCAGAAAGGTAATGACATGAATAAACTCGACCACATTCTTCCCGCTTGCGGTCTACAAGATGTACCTGACTATATCCCTCCCGGCAGCATGAGCACTAGGAGCAACAACAGGGAGCAGGGGGATGGGAAATCAATGGTTTTCAAACCCAGCAAGCCCAGATTCATCAAATATTTAATGCCACTACAATCTGAACCTCCCTACAAGCCCAGTTCCAAGAAGCTCTGTACCAACTCTGATGCCTGAGCTCGAATACGGCCAGGAGCTTTTTCACTTGCACGGGGGCGCCACCCAGGCCAGCCACAGACTTTTCGGGATAGGGAGCGCTTCGGGAGAACTGAAGACTGTCTGGCACCTCACGACGTTCGAGATGCGTCATCGCTTTAGCGTTGAGAGTGGTGAGGCTCAGAAACTTCTCAATTCCCGGGTCCACACGGTCAGTCTAGGAATCCTCGATGCGAATCCGAATTTACAAAACCCGCCATGAAGCGCTACAACGACCCTACAAAGACCATCTCTGTAGCTTGTATAAACAATTCCTCGTGTATGAGCCGTTGATGCCCCCACGACGGCAACGGCAAGAACCAAAGGAAAGGCAACTGGGCGGGACCTGCTCCCAAGGTACCCGAAATCCCTTCTGAAGTCGTGACAAGTACCTGGCTGCTCACATGTAGTAAATGGGGCCATAAGTAGCGTAGAGTGACTACAATTGCAACCCTTTTTAGGGGGCATATTGCCCTGCTTCCATTTAAGTCACAGTCGGCTTCAGCAGGTCACTGCTGCGAGCATCCTTCGCCTTCCTGGCGAAGCGAGCAGGCGCCAAGATCCAAGGCTTTCGGCTCTAAGATTCAGGAATTCGGAATGAGGGGCTTTAAGGGTTGTTTTAGGGTGCAGGGTTATATTAGAGGAAGTCGTCGATTGTTTTTCGAACGGGTTTTGAGACCGTTGTATCGCTTCCGGGGTTTCTTCGAACGATGCACGAGTTCAATGTTTTGGGGCGTAACGTAGGGCAGGGCATCAGACTGACAGTGTCTGAGGATTAGGAGGGTGGAGTTTAAGGTTCGGTTCTTGTAAGAGTTCACGATTTACAGGGGCTTTCGTTTTCGGATCAATCCCGGCTGCTAATTCCTGCAACCTGCGCTGTATTTCGCAAGAATCTGCTAGGAAGCCCTCTGACACTATGAGCTGAGAGCCGCACTGTCAGTGCCAATGCTAGCAAATCCCTCCGCAGCCGGAGTCCTACGTATAACCCCAAACCTTAAGACCAGAAACCCCAAGCCAGAAACCCGAAGGAAGCCCAAAATCCTGAAAGCAACCGTTCGAAAGCATTGATCAGCGGGAAGTTCCCAGGTATCTGCTTGTGCTGGCCATGCAGCGAGGAGGGCTCCAAGGTCTACCCTTCGTTTCGAGTTTAGCGTGTCTATGGGTGTTTGGGTTACCGGGTTTGAGTTGCTAGGCTTTGGGTTTAGCGGTTTAGCGTTTAAAATATAGAGGAGGAGAGTTTTCGGGCGCTTTGATGGTGACTGCAACTCTTCGAGTGTTTTCTGCAGGTTCCAAAGTATGGGTTGATCTTTTTGAGAAAGGGTTTCTTTTTTGTGTTTCACTTATCAGTGCTGTGCTGCGAAGGAGCAACATGTCGCGTAGAGGGATCATTACAGTAGGAATGGGTCGTTCTCCTACACTGTCAAGCCCTTCTTCAATGATCCAGGCCGTTGTTGCCACGATACATGCCTACATTTGCGATTAAATATTTTGGCTTAGGGTTTCGGGCAAGGGGCTTGTCTTTTGGTGGGTTTTGGGCTTGGGTGGTGGTTCATCTCGCTATTTTTTTCATTCACATGCTCATGATACGTCATCTGAGGCCATGGATTTAAATTGATGGGCTGAGGGTGTCCATGTCCAAGACACCGATTCCTTATCCAAAACCCGAGACCCCAACCCCAACGCCGGCAAGGCCCCTTTTTGCATCCTTAGTCACCTCGAAATGCATGCTCCAGGGCGTTGAGGCCTGAGGCCAGAAATCCGTCGGGTGGCATTAATTGTTAAATACAGTTCGCAACAGGCTCTTGATCCCTAATAGAGGGCCTCAACATGGATCAGCTTCTCTCCTTCTCTTCGACAGGCTGGATGGTGGACGGGTCGGGTGCCAAAGCTACATGGAAAATCCCGCGCGGCAGCACACCGGTCATCTCAAAGCTGGAATCCCGGCCTATCATCTCACGGTTTATCACATATCTGCGTTGTTTGCAGAGCTTTAAGGTGCTCGTGCTTTGAGACAGGGTGCAGGATTCCACGGTTTGGCATGAAAGGTGCTTTGCAGGGCTTCGAGGGCTGGCATCTAGAGCTATTGATTCAAGTAGCCTGCTTTTTTCCACTTCATAGCCCAGCTCAGGATTTGGCGCAGACTTCCGTGCCTTGCCACACATGAGAAGCTCCGGGATAAGATTGGTTCAATAGAGCACAACATTATTTAAAAAGAGTAATGGGCCGGTCCTGGGTCTCCAAGTTTAGGGGTTTGGGATTGAGCTTGCAGGGAGTCTGTGGCGGGCTGGCACTTACAAAACCTCATTGCAAGTCTCCATGGGAACTCTGCCATACGAGCATGTCAATGAGCACACAGAAATACATGCATGCATACATACATACAATCAATCCATATTTCTTCCATACATACGTTCTTACACAATGTTGGTGCATACATAGTTGCAGACCTACATACATACTTATTTACCTACATGCCTGCACACATGCACCCATCTAACAGCATTTGCATGTATGCATATATGCCCATATCTACGCCTGAAAGTGTGCACATATCTGTACGCTTGCACACGTGCATATAAGCTTTGGCAGACAAGTATGCTGGCAGACCACGTCCGACAACTGCGCAGCAGCCATGCCTCTAGTGTCATGCAATGTGCAAGCCTGTAATAAGACGTGTCAGCGAAGCAGTCAAAGCCTTTGCTGTCTGACCCAGGAGTCGCCCACTACGCTTCTCTTGGCAGCGGGTGATGGTTCAGGTATCGTCACGGCCCGGTCCCCGTGCTCTCAGCTGGATACATGATGCGCAATGCCGCACAAAGGCACAAAGACGACGAGTTTCTACGCCTAACAGCCCTGACAGGCAATCAGCCTTGCCGGAGGTCAGAAGCCAGCAAGTACTTGCTTAGGTCTGGTCTTTGAACCTCAATGGTGAACTGGCCTCGCCGAATAACGGCCGATGGTCACAGGCCCTCGCATGGTTCGAGCGAATGGGTTTATGTGATCGATCTTTTTGAGGGCTGTTTCGGAGTTTCAGTTTCGGTTTCCTTGCTGAGCTTGCACGGAATGAGGAGGGATCCTTGACTGAGTGCTGTCGGCAGCTTCAAGAGGAAGAGCCAGTGCACGGAGTAAAAGCGGCGCTGCCATTCTGAAGCAGCCTCAGTATCTCAAGCACTTTGGCTTCGGGCAAGTTGCGGCTGCGGCCTATATCATCCTCTGTCCTCCTCTTCTGTGGTCATTTCCTTGTCTTGCTGTTGAAAGAGGCACCGAGCCGCCGTGCGCTACCCATCTCAGGCCGGTTCTCAGAGTGCTGGATGAAGCTATCTTTTCTATCTGGCCTTTCGATTTGCGTGCTTCTGGGGAGGATCAGAAGAAGCCGGGCTTGCAAGTCCGAAGTTCCAAACTATTGAAATCATGAGGCTCAGAAATCGTCGTCCTGGAGTAGATATAGACAGAGATGCAAGCGATACAGCGATACAGGTACAGCTTCGACTTAGATGTGGACAAACAGGGCCAATCAGCGATTGAGATCCCAGCTGACAGGTCTGGGACTGCTCCACATCAAGCCAGCCATGGCTTCTTGATGGAAGATGGTGTTTTTGAGATTCCTGTTAAGATCCGACGAGTCTGTCGGTTCGGCATCCCAGAACAAGGCCCATGCGCACAGACACGCACTGAGACGGTCATGCAGACACACCAAGGCATTGCTTCACGTCGTCACGTCAAGCTGGTGTAAGGTGGGCATCTTACGCTACGGCGTGGCCACGCCCCAGTGGCTGCTCAGCGTCTCAACCGAGAAGGCATCAGCGAGTTTAGTGCTTAGGGCCTAAGGGATTCGGAGCGGAGAAAGCCGAAGGCAGACTGAGGAGCCTAGTGTAGATTGGCATTCTCCCATCCAATACCGCACCGCCAGGACGTCTACGTGCTCGATGCCCTGACGGGATCCGTCCTGCACAAGGTCGAGGCGGGAACATGAGTATGAAAACCAGGATCGCGGCAGGAGCGGAGGACAAAGTAGCAATGTCAACAGTCACCGTAGCCACCAGCAGAATCTTCACCTTCACCACCACTACCCAGACATCTCCATCATTGTCATCATCATCACTTCATTTCCCAGGCTTCAAGACGTTCGGGCTACGCGTTCGGGCTACGCTGGTTGGCTGGTTGTGGCTATCACGGTGATTGCAGCTAAGATGGGTGTATCTGCATTGCATCCATCATCTGGTGAGTCCAGTGTATCATCTTGCAACATGCAGTGCTCTGTTGCTCTT